ATTTTTCTCTACACTTAACTAGTGTAAGACTTCTTCGTTTCTGGGTTTTTTGTACGATTTGTTTGAGTGAAAAACCTTTCTCTACTGTTTATAGGAGAAGGGATGCGTCATTAACGCGTCATCGAATAATCACGGCGTCCACTTTTTTCTGTTTTTTTTTCCTTTCTTCCGTCAGCTCTTTGACTGCCAAAGACAAAAGAGCGTGGTTTTATTTTTTTTCTTTTTTTTTTTTTTTTTTTTTTCAAACTTGTGTGTGTCCATATATCGGAGGGACCCCACACACGTGAATAACATAATTGTGAAAACTTTTTGTAACAGTGAGAACTTGATGATAAAAATCAACCGGACTTGTTTATTTTTTTCTTTTTTTTTTTTTTTCAAACTTGTGTGTGTCCCATATATCGGAGGGACCCACAACGTGAATAACATAATTGGTGATAACTTTTGTAACAGTGAGAACTTGAGATAAAAATCAACCGGACTATGTTAAATTTGCAACAAAAAAAAGTGTTTACAGTAGCACAATTACACAAAGATTTACAATCCTCAATTAACAATACAAACTAGAAAAATCAACCATATTAGCAACAACAAGCGTTGCATATCTCCTGTGCATCTAACTCGTCCATACTTGGACCCAAATTCTGATGTTTCAGTCAGGAAAGCACCTCCCTATCACCAATAAGTTCTGCCATTCTTGGAGAGCGAAACGAAACCCACTGCAGATTCTTGAGATTCCGGACACTAACTGACCTCTACTGTCCCTTACAACAATCCCAAAACTAATACACATACTTGTTCTACAGTAGCTCCCGCTGCTCTCCAATCTTGTAAAAAGTCCAGGGACTGGGAGTAAATAACATCAGGTGACAGAATTGAATCTTTTCACAGATATTCATTCCTCTGATACCATAAAAACCAAAGGAGAACACAAATTTCTGCAAATTTTTCCTCTTCAACACCTTGCATTATATTTTGTAACCAAGAAACATTATCATTCACACCATGCAGATGAATTGGCAATCCATATAACTCTAAACATTTCGTTGCTTTAAAGCAAAGCACAAGTGTGTGAAAGGAAGACTCACCTGCACCAATATAAATTTACTTTTGACAATCAACTATACTTCTTTTGTTCTTAAAGTAGAATTCAGGATTCAGGAATGTTTCATTTTGGCTCTATAGGTAACTCCCAAGGCCAACCCAAAATGAGTTTGTTGTATTGTATCTCTGCTTTGTTCTAGACTTCAAGTTAGGTGTCCAACAACAACTAACATGGACTAGGCTTCATTCAATTTAGGCTCATGTTTATCCAATGCTTCAACAACAACTTCAATATTCTATTTCATGTCTTCTTAACAATTCTATTTCCTCTTGCAATGGGTCACCAATCAATCAAATTAAAGGTTTTTCAGTGCAAAACGCAAGCAAGAAATTAAAAATTTTCTTTATTTTTTTTTCTTGTTTGAGGATAAGTAAGTAATTTAAATATATTTGAATCAACTTGTAACACTCCAATAAAATATTCGGTAAATTAAGAAACTTGAAATTAATTTGATTTGGTATGCAAATTAACCAACAAAAATAGAAGGCAGTGAAAAAAAAAAAAAAAAAACCAGTTAGTTTGCAATACTTTTTGTGCAGAAAACACCCAATATTATTCCAAAAAACATTAAAATAAAATATTTATTAGAGACAAATACCAGCAAATCAGAGTGGCGCAGCGGAAGCGTGGTGGGCCCATAACCCACAGGTCCCTGGATCGAAACCAGGCTCTGATATTGAGTAGCTTCTGCAAAAGTTTTTATTTTTATTCTTAATTTTTAAACAACAAATATCTAAAAGCTATGATTCAAATTCTCGAACTGTAAGCAAAGCAAATCCTCCTGCTTCTGTCTTCTTCTCCTCCTCCTTCATCTTCACTGTCTATCATGATAGGTTCTTGTTCTTGACGATCATTTTTCTACGATTTTATAACAGGAACAATTGAAGTTGTGGAAATTCCATTACAATTGATTTTACTAGAACAAAGTCTTGAAGGTGGAGCTGTCAGTGATATAAAATGGGGTTTTGACATTTTTATCAGATTCTAAAAATGGTGTTTGTTCTTGTTATTTTTGATATTTTCTTCTCCATTGTAAATCTTTTCTTTCTTTCTTTTATATATATATGAAGCTGATGGTAGAAATGACTACAGACAAACAATGATTCATTAATTTAATTAATTAATTGACTTAGTTGAATGTAATGTGAGTCAAATCCTAATTAATTACCATTAAAACGATATTTGATCATAGAATGATATATAAAAGAACAAAAAAATATGTGAATTTGACAGAATTATTGTTATTATGTGTTTGTTTTGCTATATTCAGATTAAGAACATCAAAGAGAATAATATGTATGAAATTTATGATGTCAGTTAGTTATCTTTTTTTAGAAACATAAATAAATAAAGAATCACTAAATCTTTAAATTTTGCTTTCATTCCTAGCTATCATGGTCAACGGTCAACAACTTAAAAAAAAAAAAAAACAGAGAGAAAAAGAGAAAAACTATCCATTATATTATTTTTTATTAGAATATAATTTCTGATATCCATTTCCCATTCTTTAACATGTTTTCTTGATAAAAATAAATTGTAAAAAAAATTCAGAAAGCATAAAAAATATAGAGATAAATTGTTATTATAACAAAAACAAATTGGTAACATCATCTTTTTTAGATTTTGTACAATTTTTACAAATGAATAATAGGAAAAGAATCATAATAAATTCATAGTGTTTGCTCTATAAATGTTTCTCTAATGGATGATAATCACTTTCACATCAAGTCACCTAACAACTGGTAATCATATGCACTCAACTCTTGCTCAAACTGTGGATATTGATAACCATTATCAAAACGACATGGCTCCATATCTAAAAGCCATGACTCCATCTCTTGAACTTCTGAAAATTCCACATTTTCATTAATCAATGAATTATCAAATGTCGTAGAAGCATCCTGGTATATTTGATTCCATGATTGATTAATCTCTTTATTTACAACCATTTGATTATGTGAATCCAATGAGTCAAACGACAAATCCAAACTATTTTCTCGAATTTCAAAATCTGAAACAATTGAAACGCATGCTTGTTCGTTTACTTGTGAATCAAGAGGAGTCGGAGTTGTATTCGAGCAACCATTACCAGTTAATTCTTGAACTAATCTCTTAAAATTTGAGACATCGGTGATATAGACTTTGGGTCGTAACACTTGTAATATATTGTTGAATTGCTTCTTCTTCTCAGGATGATTCTTGCAAATTCTTGATGATGATGTTTTGCTGATGAGTTTCTTGCTCATTGTCAAATAATTTCTTTCTTGTTCTCTACTTGGAAAATTAAAAATTTTAGATTGCCTATGAGGTAATGGATAATTGAGGCCTTATATATATAAAAAATAAGGTGGAATTAGGTAATAATTGAAGTCAAAAATTGATATAATAAGCAAAAGATGCTTAAAAATGATTTATTTAATTAGTTGATTTTAAAATTATTTACAGAAGATGCTGAAAATGATGTTAATTTTTATTTTTTACTACTGGGTTTGTATAATAGCAGGTTAAATCAAATTAATCTCTTCTTATTTTCAAAGAATTTGACTGTTGCTTATGACTGTGTCTAAAATTAAGGAATATGCTGAGGTTTGTTATTACATTGATGCATGTGCTATGCTATTGGTAAAAGCTTTTTTTTTTTTTTTTTTTTTTTTTTTTTTTTTTAAGAATTTGACTGTTGCTTAATGTACTGGTGTCTAAATAATTAAGGAATATGCTGAGGTTTGTTATTAACATGAATGCATGTGCTATGGCTAATTGGTGAAATAAGCTTTAGTTTTTGTTTTTTTTTTTTTTTTTTTTTTTTTTTTTTTGAAATGTATTGGTAAAAGAATAGTAATACGTCTCTAGATTTATTCAATCAAAGTATTTAGAAATTGAGATTTGAGTTTAATTTAAATTAACTGTTTAATAAAGAAATAAAAAATTTGTATTTTTTAGCAGATATTTTTTTTTTTTTTTTTTTTTTTTTTTTTTTTTTTTGAAATGTATTGGTAAAAGAATAGTATACTCTCTAATTTATTCAATCAAATATTTAAATTGAGATTTGATTTATTTAATTAACTGTTTATAAAGATAAAAATTTATTTTTAGCAGATATTTTAACATATCAATGTGAAAGCAAGTACAGTACTAATTTATGAACATGAAAAAGTTATCCTTACACAGTAATTTTATTTTTTAATGTAAACCTCAGTTTACAATTATTTTTCTTTAAATAAATTAACAACTATTCAACTAAATGATATTGGACATATTTTTCATTTCTTCTTTTAAAAAAGTGGGTTTCTTTGAAAAATTGTACTCATTCTTCATTAATTGGGAGAATAAATTGTATAGATTAAATTTTTTGAGATTGAATTTAATTTGATCAAATAATATATAATCTATAAAAAAAAGACCGATCTTTTAATAATGCGTAATACATAAAATATATAGTCAAATATCCAATATCCGTTTAAAAATATTTTGATCAACCAAAGAAAAATTCAATAATTAAGAGAAATATTCAATATATAATATTAATTTGCTTCATTCATTTCATCTATCTCAAAAACAAAATAGGAGAATTCAAAGTAGGTTATGAAAATTGAAATTGAAATTTAAAGACCTCAAAATTTGACAGGCATTGCAAAATCATACCAAATTGGGCTGCCAATTATAGTCTGTGTCAGATAATTTGAAAAGAATGCCAAAAGCGGAAAAGGCACCAAACTGAAGAATACCACGTGTGCCGTCTAACCCCATCCACTCATCATTTGACACCTCATTTACCTCTTTCTTCACGTGTCGCTCTATGGCTTTACTTCCTTCTTCCCACTAATCATTATACTCCTTTTCAATTTTAACTTTGACTTTTCTTTAAAATTTGAAATACCAGCAAGCCTATGTTTTTCACTTTCCGCTACTCGACGCCTAAGCGAAAAGCATTATTGGATTCTCGCCGCGTATTACGCCCCTTAGCGCACTTTAGCACCACTACCCTTCAAGCTCTGCTACTTAAAAATCGAGCTCGCGCTCACACACACACGCTCTCTCTCTCTGCTGCGTTTCTAGAAATGGTGGAGATGGCGAATCGTTTGGTGCTGGTGGTGGTTTGCTTTTGCTTTTTATTTGAAGGTTCGATTGGGCTCACATTCTCTTCGAAGTTGATTCACCGTTTCTCTGATGAGGCAAAAGCGCTTTGGATTTCGAGAAATGGTGGTAATATGAGTAGCGATTTATGGCCTAAAAAGCATAGTTTCGAGTATTTTCAGTTGTTGCTTGTTAATGACTTGAAGAGACAGAGAATGAAACTCGGTTCGCAGAATCAGTTGCTGATTCCGGAACACGGAAGCCAGACTTTCTTCTTCGGGAATGAGCTTGATTGGTTAGTGCTGATTTTGTTCTGTTTGGTTGTGGAGAAAATACTAGAAAACGGAAATTAATTTTATTCTTTAAAAAATATATTTTGCAGGTTACATTACACATGGATTGATATCGGAACACCAAATGTATCATTTCTTGTTGCATTGGATGCCGGTAGCGATCTGTTATGGGTCCCTTGTGAATGCATACAGTGCGCTCCCTTGTCTGCCAGTTATTACAGTTCTTTGGTATGCAACTATTTTTTTCTAAAAGAAAAAAAAAAAAAAAACATTTTTCGTTTACATTACATGTGTGCAAATTGAAATAAATTTCAAATGCTACGGTGGTTTGGTTTGAATTCAAATAGACAAGATCAGAGGAGTAGTTCAAACTAAGAATTGGTTAGTAGGTTTAGTATTTAATTTTCCAATGATTGATTGGCAGGTGCTCCCTTGTATTTGGGGCATCTAATTATGCAGGATAGAGACCTGAGCGAGTATAGACCCTCTTTATCTAGCACAAGCAAGCACCTGCCTTGCAGCCATCAGCTGTGTGAATTGGGTTCCAACTGCAAAAATCTCAAGGAGCCTTGCCCTTACATTGCTAACTATGCTGATACTGGAAATACTTCTAGTTCTGGATATTTGATTGAAGACAAACTGCATTTGGCATCAGTTAGCGAAAATGAAACCAGAAGAAGGGTGCAGGCTTCAGTTATTATCGGGTGTTTATATTATACTTGTTTTTTTTATTTATTATTGCTGGTTTTTCTCACTCTGGTTTGTATTGTGCTTAGCTTGTTGCTAATGCTTCAAAGATTTTTCTTTTTGTCCATTTTTTACAGCTGTGGTAGGAAACAAAGTGGTGGTTATTTGGATGGAGCAGCTCCTGATGGGGTAATGGGACTAGGACCTGGAAGCATTTCTGTTCCAAGCTTTCTTGCTAAAGCTGGATTAATTCAGAAATCTTTCTCACTCTGTTTTAATGAGAATGATTCCGGAAGAATATTGTTTGGTGACCAAGTGCACGCCTCCCAAAAATCAACGCCACTGTTGTCTATAGAAGGAAATTAGTATGACATCTGTACACTTCTTTGAAAATTGTTTGCTTTTATTTGCTAAAGCACTTTCTTAACTGGTTTTTGACCTTAATGGTACTTGGTATTCCTTTGATTGTAAATAAGGTAGCTGTATTGTTCATTATTTCAGTGTTACTTATTTTGTTGAGGTGGAGTCATATTGTGTTGGGCATTCTTGCCTTAAGCAATCTGGATTCAAAGCATTGGTTGACACCGGTACATCTTTCACATTTCTTCCCAGAAAAGTTTATAATAAGATTGTGTTGGAGGTGCGTATTTGATTTTTGCCATTTTCAATATGTTACAAGTGTTTCTTGTTATTTGGCCTAAGAAGAATTATCTCTTACAAGTGTTTCTTGTTATCTGGCGTAAGAAGAATTATCTCTTGATTGCAGTTTGATAAACAAGTGAATGCAGAAAGAATTAGCTCCCAGGGAGGACCTTGGGACTATTGTTACAACACCAGGTTGGATTGTACACTTGAGGAGGTTTGCAGACCCTTTTGCTTATTTCATTTATGACTGATCGTCAGCTACATTTTTCTGGAACAGTTCACGCGAGCTTGTTAACATTCCTGCCATGCAAATTCAGTTCCCGATGAATCAAAGCTTTCTAGTTCATAAACCCACATATTCTGTTCCTCAGAATCAGGTGCACAACACTATTTTCAGCCTTTTCATTTGAATGTATACTTGTGAGGCTATGGGACCTGATAATTGCTAAGGCAAAAGCAAAAGACCATTTTAATGAATAAGAATAAGCATGCTTGGTGCACATTGGAATCAATGAGCTTATGACTTGATTCAATAAATTTGAGAAGTGATTCACAGGAACTTTTAAATGATTCTTTTGATGGCAACAAGGTTGTGCTGCTGACCAACCATCTTCTGACTCACTGCATCTTTTGGGATTCTAGATATAGGTTCTTTTCTGGAGTTCTAGGGAAATGATTCTTTTTGGTGTTTTAAGTTGTGGATTTGAAATTGGAGGTCTTGACTAAATCCAAGTTTCATAATGATGGCAATGGGAGTATTACTATGTGTGTGCTTGGGGGGTCGGGAGGGAGAAAACTTTCCTCACGTTGTTGTTTGTATGAACTATACATTGAACAAATTTAGCTGCATCCCAGAGCTATATGCATAATCAGAATAATGTCTTCAGGGTTGTAGCGGCAAATACTTTTTGATAGTCCTTAGCAGCTGATATGGTGAGTAGGTGCAAAAACTGCCATGTTCCATTGTTCAGAGAAATATTAATTAGCTGGTCTTTCTGGTGCAGGAATTCACCATATTCTGTCTAACTCTGCAGCAAACTGATGAGGATTATGGTATTATTGGACGTGAGTGATCCTTACTGCCGTTTGGCTTCACATGCATATTATTATTCTTCATATTTTGTATAATGACGCTGATAAACATGTAAATTGCAGACGACTTCCTGACTGGTTATCGTGTTGTTTTTGACATGGAGAATTTGAAATTCGGTTGGTCTAGTTCCAATTGTAAGTACTTGTTCTTTTGTTTCTTTCAATCCTAAATCTAGTTGATTTTGCTTATTTCAAGTGCTATCTTCTGATTCATTGAATCATTGATTCTTGCAATTTTCTTAGTTGGTTAATGCTTGTTAAAAGTTCATATGAATACTAGAACCAGAACAAGCTCCCATGTAAATGGGGATTCTGTAGAAAACTCATATAGACTTGAGAAGAATTTCTTTCTTGGTTCATGATTTTTCTCAACTCTGATCACAATTTGCTATTCTATTCAAAACATTGAATATTATATTTTGAAATCTGATCTCACCATCTCATCAATAAGCAGCAGTCATTTTTTTTTTTTTTTAATTTATGAAAATCCTCAGTCTCTGGCTCTGGTTTGATTCCATCGTTTCCCCCAGAGTTTAATAGGAAGCCATATAGTGTTCAAATGATGACATGGAGATAGTGGATTGTTAATATTTTATAGCATGCCTCTCTGGATAATGTGTAATCAGCTTTTGATGCTCGAATCTAACTACCTTTCTATTCGGAAACCTTGTTTATCTTTAATTTTGGCCTGCTAATTTTGAAGTGGTGGAAACATCAATCATTTTGAACTGGCCCATCTCAGAGACCAGTCTGCTAAAGAAAAAGATCCAATTTGTTCTCTCTACCAAGTTTTCCAATTCAGATGAAGGTTTTATTTTGTACGTTATAGTATTCTTGGTCTTGGGAAGATTTGAAATCAATTTTATTCATGTCATACCTGCAGGTCAAGATATAAGTGATAACACTGAAGTGAGAGTTGCACCACCTCCAGATGATAAATCACCAAATCCATTGCCAACTAATGAGCAACAGAGCGTCCCTAACAAGAATGCAGTTGCACCTGCTCTTGCCGGAAGGACTTCCTCTAAACCCTCTTCAGCATCTCACAAAACTACCTCTTTGCTCCATTTAGCGAGTACATTGCTATTGCTACTGCACATGTGTTGTCTCGTTGTTTTACCTGTCGAATGTAACATGTTCTACCTTTTCATGTAGCTTATGCAGTTCTGCTTGTAAATTCCGTCTTTCCCTAATTGTCATGCTCTTCCAACTTCCCGAGGGTTTATTGATTGGGGTTGGTAGAGCACCAGAGCTTATATATATATATTTGGTTTTTTGACTTTGGTGTTTGCAGAGTATTTAATAATTTGTGTACATTGTATTTTTTTTTTTTGTGGGTTCTAAAATGGCATAATGATTAAATTGGACCCTCAATTTTTGGCTGTCTTTAAATTTTGTGGGGATTTATTATGATCCTGCAAACCTCGCAAGAATGTTGGTCGTATGATTAAAGCTGAAATTTTGTAGAACTACAAGAATAATTGGCTAAAGCTGAAATTTTGTAGAACTACAAGAATAATTGGCTAAAGTTCAAGTTTAAGTTTATGTATTAGACCATTCTACCATGCAAATTGTAACAAGTATAAAGTTGAACGCCCACGGCATTATACAAAATTTGTCTGAGTTTCTGAATTTAATTAGTAAATTTCACAAAGAACAAAGAGAATGCAAAGTGTACGTTACTATTAAATGCAGCTAGCAAGTATATTAAATAATTTTTCGACCAAAAGACTATTCAACAAGGCTGAAAGAACTAGTTTTTTAAATTGAAAAAGAGAAAAGGGGAAAAAGGAAAAGCTAAATCACAGAAATAGAATTGAGAGGAGGAAAGTACAAGAGAGGAAAAATGATAGATGGCATTCTCGTCCTTTTCAGTATCTACTTTAAGCAAAAAAGCAATAACAATAGTTAACTAAAAGTTGTATGATTGGTGGTGGGTTGGGTAAGTGTAGATATATTGATATATCAATTACCTTATCTTCCATCCTTACCTAATCAATCAAAAGTTGGAAATCGAGAATTCTGGTTCTCTATGCTTTCGTCTAACTACTGCTGCCTTTCTTCGCATGTAACTTCAAAGTGAAAATAACACAGAGAGAGATAGGAGAAAATTATATTTATGATCATGACATTTAAGAACAGGAGAAGTGGAATTCTGAAAAAAAAAAAAATGATTTTTAGGTGGCTGATAGTAATCCTGGTATCTGGTGACAGGTTAGAAATAGAGTTTTTGTCGTTTAATAATTTTACATGCTTCTCTAATTACGTTCATCTATCTAACACCTCAAATTTATTTCTCTCTAATCTATTATGAAAACAATTAAGAAACCATCATATAATTAATTAATTCAGACAGTCTAAAGCATTATGTGAATAAGCTTAAAATTTGTCGATAGTAGATTGGAGGATGGAGACGACACATACATTAAAAGAGACGGAAGCTGTCTGCTGTTTTTTTTTTTTTTGGTCAACTGTGATTATAGCTACTTCTACAATGTTGTCCTCCATCGCTTACTCTTTTCATTGCAAGTGTTCAAACACATTAATAATAATGCAATGACAGTTGATATACAGTTATATGCTTGGAATTATCTTTGGAAAATCCTGACGAAGTCCAATCAAGGTTTCAATTTGCAGTTATAAATATTGGAATTGTAATCCTTAGCCTGTTAATTCAATTTGTTGAAGGCACCCTCCATCAGGACAAGTGTACTTTTTCATCTTTAATTATTTATTACAGTGATTAAAACTCTATATTCAGGAGGAAGATCTGGTTACCTAGCTAATCACTATCATGCCAAATTGCCAATAGATTAACTTCTTACCTGTAACATTTTTTTTTATATTTCTTTTGACCATTAGGATTAAGCCTAATGTCAGTGAAAAGGAAAGATACATATGTATTTAGATAATTATTGACTAGATGTAAAGTTTATATATCTTATATGAATTACGTGAAGAATTCAATTATCCTTAATTTATTGAGCACCCATATATCATATCAATTGATTGAGAAAAAAAAAAAAGATAAAATAGAAATAATTTTTAAAAAACTTCTTCTTAAATTAATTTTTATATATGAGCAAGTCTGTACATTAAGTGTAGACAAGTTTTACCGTGTCAGTATTGTAAACTTAGTACCTATATAATCACCAATTTATCCAATCAATTTCACAAAGGACATAAAAAAAAAAAAAAGAAGAAAATAAAGCTAAAAAAAGAGAGAAGTTCATTTTCATAGAAGGAGTTGGGGAAAAGTAAAAACATAAATCATAAAGCTTGTGCTTTTACACCATGTTTGGGAAGGGGGAAAGTGATGGGTGGGAACAACTAATGAAATATTCTCACTTTTAGTTGTTGGTGAAAGTAGAGAAAATGAAGGGGGAAGAAAATTGCTGGCTTTGCAATTTCACCTCATCATCCTACTTTTCATAGAAGCCAAACCAATTTGTGTTTATTATGATTATTATTAGTTATTATTTATTATATCCTCTTTTCTTTTCTACAGCCCCACCGCCCAATTGTACATTACCTTACCCCAATCAACTAAGCAATCCCACAAGCATAGGCAACCTCTCCATTACTTTATTTATTTATTTTTATTTTTTTTGTCTCCACGTGGACCCTTGTTTGTCCGTTTGATTCTCATCTTACTACGTGTCTGCCTAATTCACAACGTGGCATCATTTCAATTTCATTGATTTTTTGATTTCCATTTCAAAAATTCAATTAAAAACTTTTGGGAAAAAAGTATTATCCACATCCCATAACTATTTATATATGTATAAATTTCCCCAACTTTCCTGTTATTTACTTTTACATTTCGTGTGCCCAAAGCATTTGAAAGATGCATCTCTTAAACGAGTTAAATATTTAGATTTTGGCTACTATCTTGCTGGCTTGAAGCCCTTTCTATTCTACTTTGAGAGGTTTAAGGAGTAATTTTGTACATGTAATTAAAATATAAAATAAAGAAATTTTAATTTTAATTTTTAAAAATATCAAAATACATTGTTATTTGAAAATATATTATATTTTAAATTTTACAGTTTGGATAATATCAGAGTCAAATGAATATTCATATCCGTTCGAGGTTCATTATATTATTTTATTGAGTGCGAGAGTTCCATTAGAGTGTGTTTACTTATAGATAATAGTTTCTTAGTTTCTATTTTCTGTTTTTTTTTTTTAAAAAAAACAGTTCCCTTGAAAAATGAAAAATAAAAAATAAAAAATGAAAAATATTCACTTATAACTAATAAAAAATCATATTTCAATTAAAAATTTAAAAATATTATTCATAACTTTTATAAATAAAAGAAATAAAATATTATAAACAAATTTACAAACTTTTTTTGAATTTCAAAATTTTAAAAGATTATTATTGATCTAATCATATAAAACTTAATTCAACTTATTTAAATAAAATATTATACACAAATAAACAAATATTTATTTTTAAAATTTTTTAAAGACTTAAAATTATTTTTCAAATCGCAGTTAAATTTCAAAGATTCAAAAACTGTTTTCAGTTCTCCAAACGGAAGATTGATAGATTTGAACAGAAACACTATTTTAATAAAAAAAAAAAAAATTTTAGAAAACCATCAAACAGCCCCTTAGATTTTGTGGTTCGAGAGTTAAAATATAATTTTATATTATTCTATCAATCAAGTAAACGATTAATTTTAAATTATAAAACAACTATTTTTTGAGGTTAGGTGTACCAAATTAATATTTCAAAAGAAAAAACTTACACTTTACTCTATATTTTTTACTTTATTTTTTATAATTTAGTGAGGTTTTTTTTTAAAAAAAAAAAAAAGAATAAATGTGAGTTTTAATATGATGCGACTTTTGATGTTAATAGAAAAATTGATGATTAATTTTAAGATGAAATTTAATTGTGACAATTAGAATGATAAACTGAATTTAAGGTATTGATCGATAAAATAAAATAGTTAATTAAATTATAATAATATTAAAATTCAAGATTTTATTTTCAATTATTTAGAGTTTTCTTTTTAAAGACCCGACAAGACAGTCTTCAATATTTATATATGAAATGCCCATATAACAAACTTCAATGTATATACATTCTGAGTTACTGAAAGAAAAGGGTTAAAGCAAGAAAATAAATGACAGGCTTTTCCTTTTCTTTTTATGTTTGCTAATATATTATCTGTGCCTTGAGACAGAGGTTAACGAGGCACCCATAATTAAGGAAGTTTCTAGTAGATATGGAATCTCCTTTTTTTATATTATATTATAAAAATTGTTTTGTATAGATTCACCCTAGATTTTTCCCTTTATTTTATTTAATTTATTATTTTTATATAATTCTATTTTCTTACTGTATATAAATCCATCCATAGTCAAGACCAGACCATTAAAGTGCTCTCTTTCTTCTGTTACCCGTCAAGAAGCAAACCTATCTCTCTGCTACTATCTTTACACTTGAGCAAGAAATCAAAATAGCCAATTAATTACTCTTTATATCTCCTTTCAAGAATTTGGCCACTGAGAAAGAAATGGGAGTTGCAGGCACTTTAGAGTACTTATCTGATTTGCTAAGCAGTGTCAAAAAGGGCAAGAAAAGGAAGCAAATGCAAACTGTTGCACTCAAAATAAGAATGGACTGTGACGGCTGTGCACGGAAAGTCAAGAACGTCCTCTCCGGCGTTAAAGGTATCTATTAATTTTCTCTTCATGTGTTGTGTTATTGATTTCTTGCATGGCTTTAGTTAAGAGTAATATTTTCTGTGTTTTTATTATTATTAGGAGCTAAATCAGTGGATATAGACATGAAGCAGCAGAAGGCGACAGTGACAGGTTATGTAGAACCTAAGAAAGTGTTGAAGGCAGCTCAATCTACTAAAAAGAAGGTAGAGCTTTGGCCTTATGTCCCTTACACTTTAGTAGCAAATCCATATGTTTCTCAAGCTTATGACAAGAAAGCTCCTGCTAATCATGTCAGAGCTGTTCCGGCGACCGCCACCATCACTGAGACCACCGTCGACGATCAATATACCAACATGTTCAGTGATGAGAATCCAAATTCTTGTTCTATCATGTAGTACAATTAATTAAGAGCTATATATCTATGAAAATATTTACTGTACATACATAGTAATTACTTAATTAGTTACGAAATTAATATAATCATGGTTTTTTTTTTCCCTTATATATGTGTTTTTATGCTGGTGGCTAAGAGGAACCGAGATAAAATTCTCTTAACAACGACGATTTTAGATCTTAACATAAGTAAAACTTATTTGAAAACACGGTTTATTTTTATTGATTCAACTAAAGGTTGATTATAATAAAGGGTTTTGTTTATGCTCATGGGATTTGATTATATTTAACTTTGGTAATGTTGATGAGGCAGAAAGATAATTTTTTTGTGGTGGACGTGTAGGTATAGTTGTTGATGAAATGGTGTGGGTCGTTCTGCGACAGCTACGTTTGTCTAAAATTAACATGGTGCTTTTCATATTTTGATCGATATGCATATATGACGGTACCAATTTCTTTTAACGTTTTCCATATTATTTTGTTTACTTGATTACAGGTGGATTCAATCAAATAAGTTGAAACAATATATTATTGGGAATAATAATTATTAATTATGTGTTACTTTTGGATTAATTTTTTGAATTTCTTAAAAAGTTCAAGTGATAGCAATGGATGATCCTTTTGGATTAATATAACTCAAACTCATGAAATGAAACATACGGATAAGATTCAAACTCTTAATTTTTGAAAACGTTTTTTGATTTGCTTGCTGCTTAACTAGCTAGTTTCCCAGAGGATGGACATGGATCACAGGATAATTAACTACATGTATGATCAATATCAATCAATCCAGTTAATCAGATATGATATGATTGGTCTTCTCACGTTTTATAAAAAAAAAAAAAATAGAGAGTGAAATATCTTGAGTTTTAAAAAATAAATTAACAATGTGTCAGTTGGATGGTAAACGACCTCCATAGTTATAAAAATGAGAAGGTACGTAAATTTGATACATGATAATCGCACTTATTAGGAATGCAAAACATCTTTACATTTTACAGCTTGAAAAAAGATTACATTTCTTGATTCTACTAAAAAGAAAAAGAGATAAAAGAACAGAATATTTTACAACAGAAACATGTTTAATTACTGTGATATCATTTTCTTTTTCGTTTTTAGTTACTAAAGGTATCCTTCCATTTTCATTTTACAACTGAGTGAAAGATTAATTTTAATGATTGTTAAGATCCTCCCTAACGTATTGACTCCATTGCTCAATCTTAAAAACACACTGACCAATAGACCAAATTGTCTTGAATTATCGTTTGTAGTAACCTTGGCCCACATATTGCTTTTACTATTGAAGTGGATGCAATATACTTTCTTTGTAAGAAAATTTAGTTTATATAATTTGCTTCATTTCTTTCTAATATATCCTTGTGTTAACATTCATAAAAATTAAATGATGGCTTTTGAAAAAAAAAAAAGAAAAATTAGATGATGCATATTAAATTATTCTTAAAGGTTTTTTGATTTGAACTACCGGTATCCGAATTCTATTACTAGGGACCGACTAAATCCAGATCAGGGTTAAATTATTCTTAAATTTAATCAAACATTTGATTAAATAAAGTTTTACTAAAAACCTACAGGTTGTGGCTCAGTTGGCAACACATTGACATATATGCTGAGCATTTAGGAAGAGCTTTCAGATTCAATCCTCACTAAACATACTTGTAGAGAAGGGCAAAAAGCTTTAACTATGACTAAACCTTAAGCTGAGTTAGTCGGTCTCTAATAATAGGGTCTGGATACTGATACATTACACAAAAAAATTAAAACGTTATTATTATTCTCAATTTAACTTTTAGAGTACACTTGGAATTGCATTTATAAATTAGGGTTGAACTATCATATATAAAATTAAAAGTAAAATACGAATACAAGAAATCAGATAATAAAAAATAAATTAATACATTAGTCCCATCAATAATTGGGATTAGAATTTGGTTATTCATGCCCCCTTGCAAGGTTCCAAGAAATAATTAAATTAAATTAAATTATAGACCGACCATTTGACTATGAATGAGGCAAGTCCAAATCTTTGAGACAATTTTAGTTACCTCTTTGAATATTGTCTTATCTTTTATTTATAGGAATAGCTTTTTACCGACGTTTTAATATTAAATTTGCATGGTAAAGTATCATAATAGTACACTATGTTTGTCCATCTTCTTTGTCTTTAAGTTCACCACATGGCTTTCTCTTAGCAGATAACTTAAAGAACACGGTTCCACTCCTAGGCCTTTTCTACTACGCGTTAATTGAGGTTAATAGCTTATACATTTTAATATAATTTTGGGCTATTATTTACCGTTATGATGATACGTTCCTTTTGGGCTTATTATCTTGGGTTATAATTGTGACTAGGAAGCTCAAGCCCACTCGTCACTTCAGTTTCTCCAAGCCCAAACAACCAATATCCAATGTGTATATATATTAGTCGAGAAATGAGAGAAAAACGAATAAAAGATAGAAAACGTAAAATTTTACAGAATTAATTAATTTATTTTAAAAAGGAGAATTAAAATTTTAAAACAAAATCGTGTGAGTATGAATTGATCCACGTCGAACTGGGAAGTGGATTAAAATATTGAAATAGTGAGACCAAGAACTGCAATTACTTATCCTGACAATATATATTTGGTGGCTTTTAGCTATATACATATTTCATATTTGCAGCCACAAAACAAAACTGTACACTGCGAGAGCTTGCTGTTATTAGGCGATCACGTTGCATATTTGCTGTCAAAAGATTGCTCTAGTTGTTATCTTCATGGGAAAATGGACCAATTTATGCCAAAAGAAGCAAATTGGCATCATAAATTAAAAAATTTTCCTCCTAGGTCAAAATCAAAATTTTAATTATTCAATTAGACACTGAAATACATTTTTATAGAAAGGGTCAGTTACAAATTCTAAAATAAAATTAATCTCGTCAATGAAAAGAATATTAGATAATACGTGTATTTATGTATCCCATAGTGAGAATTAAAAAAGAAATTATGCACCGGTAGAAAATCAATATACATGATTGTATATTATATTATATTAATGTGTAGCAAGACATTGATTAAGCTAATGATGAGGCAAAGAGCAAAAGATCATAACTAATAACTCCTTAACCGCTAAATCTCCTCACAGCTTATGACCCCTTCTTTTATGAACCCTCCATTTCCAACCATCTCTTCTCTTCTCTCTCAGCTTTACCTGACAAACCTTCTTTTAAGGTTATTATTCTCCATGTTCATGCTTTTATAACTCTCTCTTATTATTTCTTTCTTTCTGCATATTAGGTTACATACGTAGACGAAAGTGACAGAGATAAGATATAGATATTGGATCAAGATTTACTGTCATGGGTCGTGTTAAGCTGGAGATTAAGAGAATAGAGAACATCACAAATCGACAAGTTACATTTTCCAAACGTCGAAATGGTCTCATTAAAAAGGCTTATGAGCTTTCAATCCTTTGTGATATTGATATTGCTCTTATTATGTTCTCTCCTTCTGGTCGTCTTAGCCATTTCTCTGGTAAAAAAAGGTATTCCTTTTCATGTTTCCATCTTTCTTCATTCATTTTTGTTTAATTTCTATTATTAATATTGCATGATCTTGATCTAATATCGTGAACTTTCTTTTCTTTTTCTATTTTTCTTCCTCGTAGTTTGTTTATTAAATACATTAATCTCTGCTGAATCAAATTTGTTCTGCTAAATGATTGGGATCTTATTATTTCTATTAATTTTTATCCAATTTCACTTTTGTGAGTTTTTGTTCTAATCATTTATTCCTTCATTGTTTTAATTTTGAGTATAATCATAATTAATTAAGGATAAATCAAAATACATTAATTAATGTGTGTTGTTTATGTTTTTTTTTTTTTTTTTTAAAAAAAAAAAAAATTTAAATGTGTGTTGTTTATGTTTTTTTTTTTTTTTTTAAAAAAAAAAAGCAGATTTTTTTTTTTTTTTTTAAAAAAAAAAAAGCAGAATCGAGGACGTGTTTGCTCGTTATGTTAATCTTCCAGACCAAGAAAGAGAACAGTGAGTATATATGCTTTTAAAAATATTTATTATAAAAATTCAAATTTTAGTTTGTTTAATTATTTTTGTTAATCTTAATTAGCTCAGTAAATTCATATTATTTGTCTTGCAGTGCTGTATGCCCTGAAAATAAAAGACATCCGTACGTTACTCCTTTTTTTTTTTTTCTGCACTTTCGTTTCTTTGGTTTAATTAATTTTCTGCAGTTGCCTTATTTAACCATTTATTAATTTATTTTTTGCAGAGATTTTCAGAACAAAGAGGTCAATAAGCATAGCACTTCAATAATTTTTTTAATATTTATTATTAAATTGATGAAATATTAGAATAATTTTCTCAATGAAATTACAGTGTTTGCCTTTGCAGTATTTGCTAAGAACCTTACAACAACTTAAGAGTGAAAACGACATTGCACTTCAACTTGTCAAGTTTGTCTCTTTTTCTTCATAAATATAATTTATAGTATTAATTAATTATTTATTTTGTTATTGATTTTTGTTTATCTTCTTTCTCATAATTCATTCATTTTCGATGCCGTTAAAAGTCCAACCGCTCTTAATTCCGATATTGAGGTACAAAAAAATTAATTCCGATGTCAGTATTTATGCATCATATTAATTAATTAATTAATTACTTATTTATGGTTAATTTTTGAGTTTGATTAATTATTAAATGTTTTTCTCTAATTTTAGGAACTACAACATGAAGTTGCTAGTTTACAGCAACAGCTTCATATTACAGAAGAGCAGATAAGGTTAATTAATTAAACAATACCTCTATATAGTAAAAATCCTTTAATTAATTAATTTTTTTATTACTCATTAATTAACTTAAAAATCCTTTAATCTAATTAATTATTTTTTTTTCTGTTCTTCATTAAACATAGGATATATGAGCCTGACCCACTGAAAATCACTTCTATGGGAGAGCTTGAATCATGTGAGAAACATCTTGTTGACACCTTGACAAGTGTCATGCAGAGAAAGGTTCATATAATTACTCTTTCACTCTTTTTTTTTCTTTATTGCTTTTTATGATTTAAAATTTCTTTTCAATTATTTTTATATGTTGCAGGAATATTTATTGAGCAGCCAACTTGGTTTTGATCCTACAATGCAAGTAATAACTTAATTACAAGCTGATATTTGATTTAATTAATATGAAATTTAAGTATATAAACTGATTTTTTTTTATTCATTTAATTCCTAAATTTTAAATTTAATTATAATTGTCTGTATGTATATATAGCAAGGGATGCCAAACTCTTTCGAGAATGATGTTATTAATTGGATGCCTGAGAGTAGTCAAAACCATGTCCAAATGAGATGTCAAAATCATCAACAAATGTTCGATGCTTCTGCTTCCTTAAATAGTCTTAGGTTTGTTTTTTCATAATTATGCTTTAATTATATATAATTATAAAAAAATAATTTATAAAATTTATAAATAATTACTTACTTTGATTTATACAGAGATTTATCATCCACAATATATGATCCATTGCTGCAAGGAAGTAGTTCAAATGGAGAGGCACATAGCATGGGAGACTGTCATGTCTCAAACCCAAACGACGGAAACTTTTCGAACTGGCATCATCAGTCGTATGCCTCAACGACACTCCATTCCGCACCGATGCCTACGACAGTCTTATACTCACATCAAGTTCAGGTTGTTACCATATGATTAACTCTTAACAATTGTGAGATATTATTTAATTTAACAGAGACTTATTTGATCTGATTTTAGTTTTTTTGAAGGTTTTGATCTAATTGTAGTTAAATAATAAGGATTTGATTATGAATATTAGTCTAATCAAATAAAAAAAAATATATATATTTTGCACTAATTTTCGTTAAAATAATATATATTTTGATGGATAATGATTATTGGTATAATTTAGGCATATTGTTATTAATATAAAAATTGGATATCACTTATAATTGAACATTTTTGCATGCAATCCAATCAGCATGGAATGGTGGGCCAAAGTATTCCAGAGATGATGCCACGTGAGCAGATGGAGATGGCAATGAGTGGCCCACATGCAAAGGTGGAAAATGAAGCTGCAAATTATGACAACAAAGTCCCTCAACTTAATGGGCAATAAAATTAAAAACTAATAAATCCTCAATCATGTAAAAATTTCGTAAGGCGACCAAAATTAAATTGCTCAATGCTGCTTGTTATTTTTATATATAGGTAAATTTCTTTTTTTTTTTTTTTGAGGTATTTGTATTATATGAATTAACTCATTTTTTTATTATATCCTAAAATGTAAATGCTTAATTTAGCTTGTACATATTTTGTGGATCTCTAAATTCAAGTATTCTGAAAATAAAATTTCAATTTATTATTATTATTAGATGATAGATTTATATTTATATAAATTTTTTTAAATATGTTTGATTTTTTGTTTAACAAAGCGAATTTTAATTTCAATAATAAATGAAAATTTTAAACTTATATTACCATTATTTTATTTTACAACACTTTTTTTTATAAAAAAAAAAAAAGGAAAAAAGCAAAAAAAATCAAAAGAGAAACTGCCTTAGCCTTAGGAAGACATATGGCAAATAATTTCAGAGTATGGACAAGTACACAGAAAAACTCTTAGACCAATTAACAAATTTAAAGCATCTATTAATTTGCTTACCATATATGTAATTAATGTACACAACACATTCTGGTTCTGGTCTTTACCTATTGGACAAAATGCCTAAACTCAATTTCTAAATCCAATTAATTATATTAAAAATATATAATACAAATTAATGAATTTAATTATTAAAAGATTAATTAATATGCTTCATTACATTTCTGCCTATAAATAGAACTCTTACAAGTCTCATTTCTCACTGAAAAGAAGAGAGTGAAAAATAAAAAGAGAGAGAGAGAGAGAGAGAAAATAGAAGAATCTTCCAATGTATCTATATCTTCTCCATTTCCTCTGATTCTTAATTAGCACATTGTTCAGAAATCAAAAGTATGTATCAAAATCTCACAATTTCATTTTAGTTTATATATTTGTAAGATTTCCAATTTCATTATTCAATTTCTGCCCGAGTTTGTTTTTGATGTTATGCAAAATACAGGTCTCAGGTATTTTGCTTAGTAGAACTTTTGCAAGTGAGTTTTCTGATTTCTTTTTCTTTTAAAATGAATTATATAAATCTCATTCTTAATTGTTTCTTTTCTTTTTTGTTTTTGTTCAGTCTATTTGTGTGATTTTAGTGTTTTCAAGCTCTCAATCTTAATTACTTTATCTTCCTCATATTTGTTATCTTTGCCCAAATTTGAGCTCTAAATGTGTTTTATGCAAGGATTAGTATATAAGCTAAATTGTTTTTTTTTTTAAAAAAAAAAAAAAAGAAGCCAATTTGAGCTCTAATGTGTTTTATGCAAGGAGTTTTTTTTTTTAAAAAAAAAAAAAAAGAAAGAAAGAGATTTATCTTATTATCATCACTAAAAAAATGAATGAAGAAAAAAAAATATTATGCTTATAATTATGATTTTAAATCTAATAAAGTATCTATTCAAAGAAATAATTGGGTTTACCACTATTTAATTTGTTCTTAACTGAATGATATTATGTCCAGAGTTAAAGAGAGCTCAATAAATTATGGATAATATTTGTCTAATTTTGATATATGGTTTAATCTAATAAAAGCATTTAGCAGAAATAAAGACACCGACATCTTTTTGTTGAAAAAAGTATAAAATAATGATAAATAAAGACAATACTAATTATCTTTCTGATATATGAAACAGTCTATATATTAGAAGTAGTGATATGTATTATATGCATTGGTAATATAATAAGGTTAATATTTTTTTTCTTTTAATTAAGGAACATTAGTAGTAAAAAATTAATTAAAAAATAATTAAGTTTGTCAAATAGAATCAGGCATCATTATTGTGTGATTTGTCTTTCTTGTCTAACTTTAGGTTCTTTTTTGAGTCTTCAAGGAAAGTGTGCCTTTGCGTTCAGACCAACAAACCTACAGTGAACAAACTCACAAAGTCAAATGTTTCTGTTACTAAAAGTTATCTTTTTTTTTTTTTTTTTTTTTTTTTTTTTTTTTTTTTTTTTTGATATTAATCTTTAAGTGAGAGAGAGAGAAAAAAAAAAAAGAAAAAAAAAAAAAAAGAAAAGAAAAGTCAAATGATTACCTTTTCTTGATGCTCTTCAAAATAGCCAATTGTATGAGGGTCCTACATTAATTCAAAGAAGTGCAAGGAATGCCTAAAATATTTTTTTATAAATCTTTTCCTATTTTAATTTTTGGATTAATACATAAGTTGCCACTTAAATTTTAGAAATTAAATGAAACTTAATGTTTTAACTTACTGTTTTACCCTGAATTTTGGAAATAGTTATAATTTTATTTCAAGTTGACTCTGTTAGTCTTCATGGCACTGATATCTAACGCATGACCTTTCGTAATAATTGCATTCCGAAAAATAAATGTAACAAAATATAAAATAGTGGGACCAATTTCCGAACTTGGATTAACTTATTCTAACTCTGTTTATAATCAAAAACACATCGTTTTGACCCTATACTTAGATCCTCTCTACTAAATGCACCGCTTCTTTATGAAATAAACTTTCTTCTTGATTTGTCGCCTTACACAATTTGCTCTTTTACCTTATGTAATATATATTTTTTAATACAAATTATCAAGTAGTAATTTTCACAATTTTCAATTTTATAATAATTTTCAATTTTATAAGTGAAAGCATTTAATAAATATAATTTTATAAGTTAAATGTTTTAAAAGATCGAAATAAAAGTTGAACTTACCATACTTTTTTTCAATTGATTAATACATTTGGTTTCAATTATTTGTTAAAGGCTTTTTTTTTTTTTTTTTTATCATTGGTTTCATATTTGTTTAAGGCTGTTTTTTTTTTTTTTTTTTTTTTTTTTTTTTTTTTTTTTTTTTTTTTTTTTTTTTTTTTTTTTTTTTCTTTTTTTTTTTTTTTTTTTTTTTTTTTTTTTTTTTTTTTTTTTTTTTTTTTTTTTTTTTTTTTTTTTTTTTTTTTTTTTTTTTTTTTTATGTCAAGCATCTAATAATATAGTAATTAATTAATTAATTAATCAATTAATTAATGTTGTTCATATACACAGCACTATGGAAGCTGAGTCATCTGCTGATCAACAAGTAGGCTCTTCAGAGTTTAATTTAGATGACTTGTTTGATGATGACAGTCAAGGCTCAACACTTGAAATAACTGACAATTCTTCAGATGTAAGCTACAAATATGAATTAGGAAATTAATTATTAGAGTGTGTTAACTTTAATTAAGAATGGTAACAGGAGGTTGAGCAAGGATCATCATGTGGAAGCAATCTGCCACTAATGAATCAAGAAATTACTAGTCACCCACAGGAGTATATTTTGGACAGAGCAGCAGAGAATAATATCACGAGGACACCACAAGATAGCTTGATTGATAATAATAGGATGGGAATTGTATCACCACCGTTCATCAACCAACCCCAACCTTCTTATGTCCCTTTGATCACTCCATTAAGGTATACAATCAAGCAATAATCATCGTTAATTGTTTAATTTTCTTCAACTTCAATTAGGTTAGAGACATAGACATATAAAATATAATGGGGATTGGATATATATAGGTATTGAACATGAATTTTTTCACCAATATATTGACCAAAAGTTCAATTTCTGAAACGGGATTTTTCTTTCTTCCTACTTATATCCAGGTGTCAAGAGTTACCAAATCAGCAACAAGTGAATAATGAAGTCCCTGTAATGACAAATGAGCCACAATTTCATAACTACAACATGCAACCAGATGTGCCATCCATGGAGCTTAGGTATTAATTCACTCTGATTAATCCAGGAATTCAATTAAGTGATAGGAAAATGTTGCAATCAAAATTTTTGATAAAAAAAAAATGAATGGTTTTGTGATTATAGGTACCAATTTAATCAATTTGAAATGGCTAATACTGTATTTGAACCCCCACATGGTTTTGAAACCATGCCTGTGCCTTCTCTTCCTTTGAGGTATGTCCATATATATATATATATATATTCTCTAATCTTCATTATGTACAAGGTTAATTTTATTATTACTTGAGATTTGGTTCATGAATGTAGGTTTCCAGAATTTCCTCAGCCTCCTCAAACACCTCATGTACTGAGTTATTCAAGGTATCTCTCTGTGCATTACAGTCTATACATTTTACTTATTGAATATTTATTACAAGTAGAACCCAGAACTTAACATCTTATTATCTTTAAGAATTAATTAATCTTATTGTAAGAAAGAGATTACTTAGCCTAATTAGCAAATGGGTTACTAATTATTCTTCTCAATACAAATAAATGCATTATAATTTCTTAATATTGGAATCGTTTTCAAACTGTGAGGTTACAAGTTCAAACATATTGTTCTGTATCTCTTATATAATGATAATTTTGATGAGTTCGAACCTGAAATCAGAGCCTAATTCACCACTAAATGAGAACAATAATTTTACAAGTTGCTTATATGTATAGGCCAGAGACTTGTCATCCTCAAGAATTGGCTACTCAAAATGATATAAATAGGCTTGTGATCTCCCAGCAAAGTCCATTCTTGAATTCAGAAACCAATCAAGTACGAATACAATCTTGCTTACTATATTTTATTTTGTTGTTATTAATTATTATCGTTTCTTGACTGTTATTTTTCTAATTGTGAAACCCAGAGAGGAATTCTTGGACTAGAAAGTAGTACTGGAAAGAGAAGATTTGAAATTGGGGAATCATCATCACAATATAAACGTTACAGGGTATATATATATGGACCAACAATATAACATAAGAGATCTTTTTGAATTAATTAATTAATTAACTAATGCTTTATTTTTGTTAATGTAAGGTTGAACCAGCAACTCATGAACAACTGGACTGGAACCTCATTGACTTCCAAGCCAAGCTAGGCATCCCAGATAGTTTAGGGTTTGTAGTTTTTCAGTTATATCTTAAGAAGCTATTTTTTTCCATGTTTTCTTGAATTATGAAGCTATTTTTCCAGTTTTTATAATATCTTTCCATGAATTTCTGCAGGCCGATGACCACAAATTCCATCTACGATCCATTGTTTGAAGGGATTGGTCTACCTATTGATCCTCATCTGCGAATGCTTGCTTTGAGATGAGCATTTAAAACTATGATTAGTGTTAATTAGTTAGCTCTTTAATTAATCATGGTTGGAATATGTAATCTTATAAGTTTCAAGACATTTCTAATACCATTAGACTATATAGCTCCTTAATCATGCTTCTCAGCTGATCGTCTTGCAGATATGGCTCACTCTTTCCCTTTGGGGCCTCTGTGTTCTCGATAGCCCTCCTCCGGAAATGAGGCAATGGTTATTTCATGACATGAGTGGTGTTTCTTATTCAAGAGTTTTTTTTGCTGTTTTTTCTTCGAGTTTTGCTCTTTTCTGTGTACAAAAAGAAAAAAAAAAAATAGTAGAGTTTATTTTAAAAATGTTAAGACTTCTAACATATATCATTAAGTAATCAGTTTACGATTTTGTTTATAAAAAATAATAAAATAACAATAGCTACAATCACGAATAAAACTATAGTTACAAAGATTTTAAAGCTAAGCTTGAAACATACCTGAAAAGATTTTAAAGCTAAGCTTGAAACATGCCTGAACGATTATGTAAGCATGATTATAATTTGAATTCAAATTGGAACCAAAATAAAATTAAAATTGTAGTCAATGGTTTTTAGTTTTAAGCCGAAATCTAAACGGTATGCCTACAATTCAATTTTAATTTTTAATTTTTCAAAATTACACCGGTTATTTCAGTTTAAAATCGAAAAACCATGAATGTGAAAACAAAAGGTTTGAAAAAGAAGTCCCATTTATTTATTTATTTATTTTTTAGTACAGTTCTTGTAAATAAATTTGGTGAGTCTTTTATTTATTTATTATTTCTTCATGCTATAAAATTTATAAAAAAAAAATTGACAAGCGGCCCTCGTTTTGATTTCAAGCGAGTACCGGAAATTCTAAAATCACCTTGGGAATTATCTAAGAGCAATTTGGCTTTAATTTAACAATTTTACCCTTCTATGAAACCGAAACTGTGTTATCGAAACCAACTATTTTGAAACCAATATTGGTGATTTGAAAATGGTCATCATGCCTAAAATTATGTAGTCTTAGTTTTGTAAAATATTAAATTTACAAATTAAAATCAAATTAAGTTAAATTAACAATATATTTATAATAGATAAATTTACATTAAGTTAAAAAGTCAAATAATAAGTTTTATTCAATTTAAACTACACTAATTAATTTTGAAACTCATCAAAACAATAATGAATTGAACCTAAATTAAAGTTATGTAAGAACAAGACAGTAATAAGGTACAACACAAATTTAAAGAATTAAATTTTAAAAAAATTATATGATTATGAAATGGGTTTGCAAAGAGCCAATAGCCCCAATGCTGCAATGCTAGATTCATCCCTGTATAGGAAAAAACATAAACAATTCATTTTATCAAAATAAAAAACATGGCCACAGCTTTTCAAAGTCCAGATTCCAGAATTTGCCCAGAGTATTAAATGGGTAACTGCATATGGATAAGTTTCCGATTTCCGGTACAAATACACCTGTCAAGGACATGAGTCTTTCTCTCCGTATAAAATGCAAAATGCTTCACTACTCACTACAGAAAGAACCAGTCTCTTGTTTCTAACTACCTTCTTTGAAATGGCAAGGATTAAGGTGGAGAAGAAGAGCATGGCAGCTGCCACAGCTCAACAACAAAACCACCAAACTCAATCCAACTCATATCTCCATCTGCTTGCTCCCCAACTCTGGAATAGGTACTAATAAAGCAAATTCACAAAAAAAAAAAAAAAAAAAAAAAAAAAAAAAAAAAAAAAAAAATCCTCCATCTGCCTTGCTCCCAACTTGCAAGGTAGTACTAATAAAAGCAAATTCCACAAAAAAAAAAAAAAAAAAAAAAAAAAAAAAAAAAAAAAAAAAAAAAAGAGTCATTGAAGTAAAACATTTTTTCTTCTATCTTTCCCTTTTTTTTTTTTTTTTCTGTTTTTTTTGAATATTATTATTTCTTGAATTACTTGCAGGGACCGATTTGAATTTAGCAACGGAATTGGCTTTTTTTTTTTTTTTTTGATATTCTTATTTCTTGAATATACTTGCAGGGACGATTTGAAATTAGCAACGGAATTGGTGAGCCAGCTTTTGTTTGAACCTGCCATAACATGCAAAGAGAATCAATTAGCTCTTGAAAGTAAAGTAACGCTTAAATAATTGAATGACTTAGGTTGATCCTTCTAATAATTAGGATGCATAACATTTCCTCTTCATTCATCATAAGCCACACCCATTGACAAAGAAATACATGTCATAAAAAATTTTCAAAGATATGATATGAAAGAGAAAAAGGAAAAAACAAAAATCACTAGCTTGATTATTGATTGGTAATAATCAAGCTTTTCTCATATACTCATTGCATATATTCTGATTACTAATCAAGTTGGTGTTTTGCTTATGAAAATAAAAATCATGTGAAGCAAACTGAAGCCCAAGGAAGATGCATAACGAGAAATGGAAAGAAGGCAAATGCTATCAAATCATAATATCTGACTGTCTTTTTCGCTGTTAAATTTTCTGTTTTCTACCAATTCTGAGTTTCTGCAGGTTCAGTATCAAACTAGTTTCTCCAATGTATGAACTAGGAAATGGTCAATATAATGTGTTATATTAGTAATCTTCTACATAAATATTCAACATGTGAAAAAGAATTCAGAGTCAAGTCCATTCTCCCAGTACTCAAAGAACCAACGAAAAGAAAAGAAAGAAAATCTTAAACATGATTTACAAAGATTAAGAATTCATCATATAAATACAACAGAAGTGTTAACTTGGGCATTAATAAGGTTGCGCCAGAATGTCCAAGAAATAAGCTTATAAATTATTGCAGCACAACTAACCTCAATAGCGAGAGTTATCAAAAACCCAAGGCTCATGCAAGAAAAGCTCTCTGCCATTCATTTGAACTGTTCCAGCAGCTATCTCTTCTGCACGTTTCCTAGCTGCTTCAGCTTTTTTAGCTGAGACATCTGCTTCCTGCAAAATATATTGTGGCATTGAAATTGTTAATGACTAGATTGAACGCGTTCCCGAATTACATCCACTAATTAAAAAGGAATAATACAATGCAACTAAAAGAAAACAACGCCTTAGCCTGCTCATACACTTGAAGTCAAATCCCACAAATGCAAAAGTTAATGTTGTTTCATAGACAAAGGAAAGGCGTTAATGTCCTAAACTTTTAATAATCCTCTCTATCAATAATATAAAGATTTCCAACCCACTAGAAATTCATTAATGCTAACAAAATTCTCGCCATTATAGATTAACAAGAATCCATAAAAACCACTTGTTTTCTTATAATCTCATTATAATCCCAATCTAGCTCTAGCATTTTATCGAATAGGTTTCAGGCATATATCGCGGTCTTGGGGGAATAAAATCGATTGATTAATTCTACACAATTACTTCAAGGGATTATTCAGATTACATAATAACTATAACAAATTCAATTTCTAATTAGAGTTGAACTAAAGAACAACAGGTATATAAGAGTATAAAAGAAACAAAAGCCCTAGAAGAAGAGGATGGAGAAGTGAAAAGAATGAAAGACCTTTCGGCGTTTCCAGGTTAGGAACTGTGATTCTGTTATGGAATTGGCCCTTGGCTGTTCGTTTGCTTGCTTTCCTTGCTGCTCTTCTTCTGCACCCATGATTTTCCTCTGCTTTTCTCCCAAAAGATCGTTCGACCCGAAGCCGCGTGGCCGTGGCGGTCCTTTTATGCACAGGAGAAGTTGTAAAACAGAGAAAAAAACGACTTCGTTTAATCCTCTTAAAACGACAGCTATTTTCGGGTCTTATCGTTCAGCCTCTATAGACGGTACAATTCATTTATTGATTTTTAACCCGATGGAAGAGGTTAAGAATCTTTCAGAAGTAAGCCAATGAAATAAAACGATAAGAGTTTCTGTAACTGAACGACAGAAAACTTTAGGTACCATCTTTCCGTCACTTTCGTGTCGTCCGGTCGAAAAGGACAAGTTTTCCTGTCGCTTATGTTATCATCCTTTAATTCTCTTTTTTCCTAAATAAGACAAAATTACCCAAAAAATTGTTAATCAAACCCAATTCTTTGTTTGGTTGGGGAAAACCAAAGGAAAAGATAAGGGCAACCCTTGTGATTTTTGTTCATTGGTTAACTGCTTTTGCAACAAAAGTATTTCACGAAATTTTGGGAAATTCATCTTGAATTCAAATTGAAAATATTAAAAAAGATTTTAATTTTATAAATTCAATTCTATGAAATAGAATATAATTGAGTTAAAAATTCTATCAAACTAGAGAAAATTTCTAAGTGATTTACAGAAATAACAAAAAACATATTTTATGGACAAAAATGACCATATAAATCAATAATTATGGTGTTCTCCCCTCTAATTTTTTCTTTTTTAATTTTCTATCTTCAGTCTCTACTCTCCAATTTTTTTTTTATGTTTTAAAAAGATTGAATTTTATCATAAATATGGGGTGCATTTGATTTTTTTTTTTTGTAGTTGTACTATTGTCTTTCAAGTTTTACATTAAGAATATTTGAGGAAATAAAGATAGGAACTATTCAATTTTAAGTTCATTTAAAAAAACATAAAAAATCAACTAAATTTTATTTTTAAGAAGTTATGTAAATTCAAATATTTTTTATTTAGACTTCATTATAATGAATTTTACATTTCTAGTTGATTTATTCCAAATAGGCTCAAGCAAATTAAATTTCTAATTGCAAGGAAACATAAAATAATAATAACAATAACAAAAATAAAGCTTTTGAAATTCAAATAACACCTTATATTGAATATCAAAATATAATATAATGATAAGTGCACTTACGATATTACGATTCAAATTCTTTTTCCCCCGTAACAATTAACACCTTACATGAAGCGTGCCCAAGTAAAAAAGAAACTGCAACCTCTACACAATAAACCAAGAAAAGAAATTATTTTACTTTTCTCTTGTTTGGAACAAATGAATTATACACAATTTTGAGGAATTCATTTAGAAAGTCATATTTATGTGTTTAGAATGAAAAAAAATATATATAGATTTCAATTTTATGAATTTAATTCTATAGAATTGAACATAACTATATCAAAATTCTAAAAAATAGATGGAATTTTTAAACGAATTCCACAAAACTAAGTCATTCAACCTTTATGAAAAACTATCATTCTTCTCCTATAAAGTCAATTATTTCAATTTTTTACTTATTTAACTTATATATTTTATCAAACTTGAGTAAAACCATTTAAAAATTTTATTTTTAGAAAAATATTTTTTTTATTATTGCATTTTTTATTTTAATATTTTTCATCTTTTATTTTATATTTTTTTTATTATTGTGGGAAGAAATTTAAGTTAAATATTCATTTATCACTAAATTTTTTATTTATATTTTTCATCTTTATTTATATATTTTTTTTATTATTGTGGGGAAGAATTTAAGTTAAAATATTCATTTATCACTAAATAATTATAATAATTTTACTTAATATATTATTTTATTTTATATATTGTATTTTAAAAAAATATAAAAATTATATGATTCATAACATGAACTATAATTAGTGGTTTATTATTTATCTTTTATGATATTACTATTTCAAGGATATTTAATAAAAATATAAAAAATTATATATCATAACATGAATATAATTAGTGTTTATTATTTATTTTTATGATATTACTATTTCAAGGATATTTTAGAAAACAAAATCAAATGAATCTTCAATTGTAAATTTATTCCATCCAGGAATATCAAATATGAAAATTCATTTACAGATAAATTTTATATTTTAAATTCATTTATACAAAACAGAGCATTAATTAGGCTTATAAATCTCATTACATTTTACCCAAATTTTACAAAAAGAAAAAAGAGAGAGAAGGAAACAAAGCCTGCTAAGCTTCATTAGCTGGTATATATGCAATAAGACCACCAAAATCAATCAACAAGAAGTTAATTTGGTATTAGTGCCTGCATCTATAGCTTCACTAACGGTAAGAAAAACTCTTCCTCTTCCAATTCTATCTGGGAATTTAGCAACTTTTAGCTTATGAATCACTTGCCATCTTGGATTGGCTATATCTAACTGTAACATCAAAAAATATATATATATATAAAAATAAAAACAAAAATAATCAAATTATTGGAAAATGGAAATATTACATATTCTGAATTGCAGGTGATTTTCTTACTTCTGTTTCATATGAAAGCAACTTCTTGTGCAGCTCTTCGAGTGCAAGAAGTCCTGCGGTGTCAATATTTGTTACATCTGCAATTTCAAGAAATCATCTGTCACTCATCAGTGTCTGTTTTGTTTTGGTATTCAATTTCTTTTGATGTAATAAAACTTACTTGACATGTCAAGAATTACTATTTGAACTCTTTCCTTTGTATTTTCTTCATCTTCTGTCACCCACCTCATTATTCTAAAACATAAATTATTCAATAAACTGTTATATAAAGCAAGCTAATTCTTTCGTTTATTTTAGTGACAGATTGCATACCTTTCTCTTATAAAATTAGCATTTGCAAAGCAGAGTAATGAAGAGTTTATTCGAACTATTAAGACGCCTGGAGTTTTTATGGCCATGGGATATTGATTAATATCACCAAATGTATCTGTTCTTGGAATTCTACCAAGTTCTTCTATGCTTGGTCGAATTGAGTTTAGCAATATCTTCCCAAACGAAATGGTTACCTACATTAATCCATCAAACAAGATTATCAGAAACATAATACAAACTAATTATTAGCAGTAAAAATTTAATTCTGTTATTCTTGACTAACTATTTTGGAAGTCAACATATGTCCAAAATGTGCGAGTACCTACTGATCAGAGTCTACCATAGTTGAATTTCAAGTTCAATTATTAATTGAAAGGAACCCACCACTCACAAGACTTTATTTTTTTGATAAAGATTGATGTAACAAGTTGTTCTTGATTGGTTTCTTGAAAATATCGTATGGTTCTTGGCCAAGGAAAAAAGTGAGGAAGAATTACAGTTGTGTGATTTACCGCGACTAGAAGACCGATCTCCACTGATTCAAACAAAACACCAAAGAAAGCACCAATACAGGCAAGGAAGTCTAACTTGTCAACTTTCCAGATGTGATAAGCTTCATTTATGTCAATTAGTCCAGGAAGAGCAGAGAGAATTATCGAAGCAAGAATGGCCATTGGAGTGTAGTACAGAAGCCTAGTGAACAATTCGAGTGATAAGATCACAGTAATAGCCATTACTATATTTGACACAACAGTTTCACATCCTGCACTGAAATTCACAGCAGTTCTTGAAAACGAACCTGCAGAAACATACCATAGCCAATATTTTATTAATGTAACACGGTAATGTTAATATTTTAATTGGTGAAAATGACTAATAGTCGAGTGATTGTCCTGTACTAGAAAAGATCATACATTCAAACTCTAATAATCTCCTTCTTTTTAGAATTTCTGATGAAGAAAAAAAAAGGGAAAAAGAAAAGTGCTTACCAGTTGCCACATAGCAAGAAGTTAAAGATCCTACAATGTTCATGAAGCCCATAGAAACCATTTCTTTGTTGCCATCGAGGTGATAACCTTTTATGGAAGCGAAAGACCGGCCAACGGCAATGGCTTCCTGAGGCAAATGCTCAAATGATGCTAAAAATCGCCTGACACTGACACACTAAGTTAATAAAGAGCTTGAGACATATTTTGCATACTCACAGTTAGAGCAACAATGGCGGAGATAAGGCCAATTTTGGCTGCTTGTCCAACATGTGGACTATTGAGTTGTAAATCATGAACAGAACTTGGATTCAATCCTCCTTTTATGTGTTTTACAATCTTGACTCCATGTTTGTCAGCTTTTGACAAGAAGACGATCAAAGTAGATAATATTACTGATATTAGAGGAGCAATAGCTGGAAACCAGAATAGCTTCTTGTTTCTCCTTCCCTGCATATGCAAACAGACAATCAGTCATGGCAATCAAACAAAAGTTTCTATAGTTAAATAGGGATGGAAATTTTAAATTACTTACAATAAACCTGGCAATTAGGAGAAATATGAGGAAAGAACAGCCAAGAACAAAATTCAAAGGACACCACTGCCATACATGAAAGAGGAATAATGTCAAATTAGTGGCAGGCAAAATATCAAATTTGAATAATTTTAATGGAGAATTTAGAAAAACTTACTGGATGGTCAATTGAAGTGAAAACAGACCCTAATACAGAGACTACATCCGTTTTATTAGTGAAATGAGTAATCCCAATTAGACCTTTGAGTTGCTGAAGACCAATAACAATGGCTGCACCAGCCATAAATCCAACAATCGCTGCATGTGAAAGAAAATCCACAAGAAACCCCAACCTGAAAAGATACTAATTGTTAATTATTAATTGATTTGCACAAAACTTAAGAAGAAAAATCAATACATTACCTAAATAACCCAAATACAGCTTGAAAGATTCCAGCAAAGAAAGTAACAGTAAAAACCAACTTTCTATACGCAACAGGGTCAGTTGCAGGATCTTGAACTTTCTGAAGCGTAGAAGAAAGCAGCATAGATACTACAGCCACAGGTCCAATGGCAATTTCTCTTGAACTCCCCATTAGAGCATAAATCAAAGGAGGAACTGCACTGGTGTCTAATTTATCCAAGAAATTCAAAATAAACAAATTAATTAATAATGGGTAATACAAAACATAAATTTTTTGTGATATAAAATAAATTTACATACTTACACAGGCCATATTGAGGATCAAGTTTCGCTAAAGTAGCATAGCCAATACTCTGCAAAAATTATGAGAGAAAGTTAAAATTAAAAATAATAATAATATTTTCTTAACTAATTAATTAAGTACACTAGTTATATATGTATACCTGAGGAATGCTAAGGCTAGCAAGAGTTAAACCAGCCATTAGATCATTTTTAAATTGAGAGACTTTATAATCTTTACCCCATTTAAGAATTGGAAAGAGGGATTGAAAGAATGAAACGGCAGCAGTTGTTTTAGTTTGCTTTGAAATTTTTTTCTTTACATTGGAAAAGACAAGTTCTTTTGCAGAACCGATGAGTTCTTGTAAGAGGCCAGGTGGATCAGGAGAATTAAGAACCCATTTAGCTCTCTCCTGCCGATTAGTGTCTTCAACATCAAGTTGTCTTAGCTCTTCTGCTTCGTTGCAGGTTTCTGTTGGCTGCGAAGCCATAGCCATGGAGGTTTTTAGTGGTTTTGCCTGTTTAAAGTGGTTGGGTGTACCCTGTGAGCTTATTAAGCTTATTAGCTATATGGTGATTTGATTATATACTATTGCCTATCCAGAAACGGTAAATGTGAAATATTAAAATGCAAACCTTCGTTCCTTAAAACTTATTTGATGGGTTCTTTGTACTTTGTTCTTTGTTTGTTTGCGAGGAAAGTGGAAAGAAAAGAGTTGAAAATTGTAATGTATTTTGTCAATATGTTGGTTAAATGCATGTGAAGTTCTTTTCCTTTTCTTTCCTTTACTTTCACTTCTTTCTTACATAAACATGGTGTTAGTAACTTATTATCGTAATAATGAGTGATTATGGATAAAGAAAGTGATTGATAGTGAGAAAGTTCGAAGAATAAATCTTTTCTTACAAAGAAAGGGTATATTGTATTAGATAATATTTTGACCTTCATTAATAATAATATTAATAATAATATAACATAAGATGAATCCTTAAGCATTGCTGGGAGTCAAAAACTTTTACCTTTTTTGGCAACGACTTAATTTTGTTGCAAAAACTTACAGTTTCAACTTTTTAGTAACACGGTGAATAATTTATTTTTACCTCCATAAACTTATGGCCACATTATTTAAATATTTTTTCCACCAATTTTAATATTTATTGTAGTGATTGCCATTTTAATTTTATTTGAAATTAGTTTTAATTTTTTCATTCCATTTAATTTACACTGCGTGGTGTTTATATTTAAATTTCAAAATCATCCAATGAGTCACCGACCAATGACTTATACACATACTATCCCCAATTTTATAATTAAAATTTAAAAAATTATGAATATGATAGTAATCTACTCAAATATATAATAGTTATTTTTTAAATTTAAAAATTTAAATGTAAACAAGGAAGTGGTTCACTTTGTCTGGGATCAACTCGAAGGACTCCACGGAAGACTTTCCTCTCGTAGAGTGGCATCTTTTATGAGACTCTTTTCTCTCTGTGAAATTAATAATAATATTAATAATAATTATAATAACAATCTATACTTCTATCGTATATATAAACTAGTCCTAATTCTACATTTTGCGCGTGGGTATTTACACATTATTTGATAATAATTAAATACAAAGCATAGAAGAGAAAGAGATTGCAAATGCAACTTGTAAAGAGATGATGAAAAAGATAAAAGAAATTAATAAATATTTAGAGAGAGATACGTATATATAAATTTATTTATAGATATAAATTTATCAACCAATTTAGTGATTTGAGAGTTATTTCTTGTTGTATAGCCTGCAGTGTTATTTCAGCCTGAAGCCTCATAATGAAGCAAAAAAGAAATATTTTTAAATAAATAATATAGATAATTAAGCATTTTAAAATTTTAAGTTTTATCTTTACTAAATTTATTTTTTAATAATATATATGATAATGATATATTTGAAAATTTTTTATATTTTATTTATTAAATATTTAATTCTTTAGGATATAGATAAAAATAAAGAAAGAAAAATATATTCTTTTGATTAATATTCTTTTTTTTATATTTGTATGATTTGATTGGATATATTTTTTAAAAAATGAATTTTTAAATAGAATATATATGATATTTTATTTAGGTTTTGGATTTTAATATTCTTTTTTTCATATCATTTGCTTATGATTTGATTGGATATATTTTTTAACAAACATGGAATTCTTTTAATAGAATACTATATGATATTTAATTAGGAGAGACTAAAAAAAAAAAAGTATATAAATAGAATATATATGATATTTTATTTAGGAGAGATAAAAAAAAGAAAAAAGTATATTATTTTTTATTAATTTTTTTCATGTTTATAAAATTTGATTGGATATATTTTTTAAAAAGTAAATTTTCAAATAGAATTTATATAATTAAACCTGGAACGGTAAACAGCTAAAAATTTTAATTAAAAGATATATAATATTTTATTAATATATTAATATATTTATATGTATTGAAACTTTGTTTTTGTTAGGTTTTGAATGAGTTATATTTTCAATAGTGGTTTTTTATTTTCATTTTTCTCCCTCAATAATTTGTAACTACTATCATTTTAATTTAGTAAGAGATGTATATCTCCCTTGCAATAAAAAGATGGCCTGATTAAATATTTTTTATTCTCTTGATATTTTTTCTATTAGATCCTATATCTGTTTGACTTAAAAGAAAATAGTGTTTAGGAAACTGGAAAAATAACGATATATTTCTGTTTGGGTCACTTTTTGGATTTTCAAGAATTTTTGTGTGTGTATATATTCCCTTTTCTAATACACTGGGTAAGTAATACTGTCATTGTAGCTAAAGTGATTTCCATTATCAATTCAGACCATCCTCTCATTTCTTTTATTTTACCTAGCAGTAAAAAATTATTTATTATTATTTTTCATTATAGTTATATGTAGATATTGATTTAGGGTTGAGGACAGAGGTTGAAGATTAGGTAATGAGTTGATTTTCTTTTTAGGCACCTATTAGGATTTTAAAAATCTGCATTTATAAATTAAGGACTAAATGATTAGGTTTAGGGATTAGATTGAACTTTATTTGAGACCACTTTATTATATAAAAATAAAATTAAATATATAAAAAGTAACATTGCAAGTAGTTTGTACAATAAAATGTAATATAAATTAACCACTTGCATTTATTTTAATCTAAATAAATTTTATGCTTTAATATTATATAGATAAAAAAAGAGTATACTACGAGCTGATTGTGTATTTGATGATTTGAAAAGTATATTTCATTAATTTTTACACATTGCAAGTAAATGTAATTTAATTTTTGGACAAGTATGTTTCATTATAGGTAAGCTCTTTTAGAGAAACGATGGATAGATTATACTTGCTTAAACCAGATCTATAGTTCCGCTCATAAACCAAACAAATGAAAATATGAATTTTTGCTTTTTTTTCTAACCATAGGATAGAAATATTATCATTTTAACAAAATTTTATATTTGCATTGGATTAGTCCATTGATTGTCATGTACACGATCTAGGCAAGTCAATGGGTTTCATAATTATAGGAATTTGCTCGATACATTTTCACACTCGAACAAATAAAAATTTTGAGCAAATGGAAGAAAAAAAATCTGTTGATAAATTCATATGATGGGTTTCTAAAAATTATTATAAAAGATTACACCCATCAACCTAAGATGTAAGATATAAGAAATCCAGAGAAGTTATTATTTTATAATCTAAATCAATTAATGAACTAATTGCTGTTATAAATAATTATATTTTTTGTCAAGATCAACTCTAAGTGCAAACATCTAATATTATATATATTTTTTAATTTTAGTTTTATTACTCAAAAGAATATGAATTGTTTTGTTTCGTTAAAAGATCAACGAACTCTATTAGCTACTAACGTTAAAAGATCAACGAACTCTATTAGATACTAAATTAGTAAAGTTCTATTTTAATTTTAGTTTTATTACTCAAAAGAATATGAATTGTTTTGTTTCGTTAAAAGATCAACGAACTCTATTAGCTACTAATAGTAAAGTTCTATATCTGATCTATATGAGTATTTGTAATTTTTATCATTAATAAAATATATTTAAAAAAAAAGGTTATTACTTATTCTTACTTTAAAAGTATGATAAATCTCTCCAAAACTTTAAAATCTCACAAAAATAAATTTTATGCATTTAGTATATGATATTAGATATTAATTGATTTAAAGTTAGATTTGGAACAATAATATAAATCTAAGGAAATATGCAACAGTTGATTCAAAATATAAAAGGAAAAAATTAAAAAAAAAATGCAAAAGAAAAAGGACTAAGATTTCCGTAGTGTTTGCTATAAATAATTTAGAGTTGCGAAATTCGTTGGAATGAATTCTGTTTGGAATTCCAAATGAATGAATTCCAAATAAATTACACAAATTGATTCATTTGTACCAAATCCTATGTTGAAATCAGACACTACCTTCTAGTTTTTCAATCAACTTGACCTTCTTTTGCCTCTTCACCTCTTTTGAGTCGTTTTGTCTTTATTCCTCTTTTTTTTTTTTTTCTTTTTATCTTGACCTCTTTTCTAGAGTTTCTCTGCCTCCTCTCTCCGCATCTCTTTTTTCACGGTTTCCAATCAAAGTCGGTGTTCCATAATATTTTTTTTAAGTAGTTTTTCGCATTGGTCAAAATAATAAAAATTATTTTTTATAATATCCAGTAGTAATATAATGTTAAATTAATTTTTAGAAATTAAAGATAATATTTGATAAAATATGTTAGCTTATATAACTGTTTATCTTTTTAGCATTTTATGAAAAATTACCTATTAGTTTACCAGCTAAACACGGAACAAATTCAAATTGTATATAAAAAAAAAAGAAGTTATAATTGTTATGATGCTAAGCTCTGCCAATTACGGACGAGTATAGATAGATCTTGATAACGCAAGTTGATAGTGTTGGGTCCAACTTGTACTTGTACATTACTTAATGGATAAATTCTATTTTTCTCTTTAAAAAATAAAAGGTATTTATTATATATGAGTGGTCTTATATTTGAATCAAGTTAATCTGAAGTCTGAGTAGACTTATAGAAAATAAATTTTTAATATAAATTAGTTTTAGAGTGCTATTCGAACAAAAAGTTATAATCGAGCCAAAACTGACATAAAAATTTAAATAGTGTGACCTTTGCAACACCATCCATATTGCACAGTGATTTAATGCATTACTGCATTTTCAATTATTAATCACACTATCCGTGTGTATTATTTTATTCAATATTCAGATAACTTTTAGTATTAAGGAGAAATTTAAATCTAAATTTATTATTAAATTATCCATATGTTTACCACGAAGTTATGCACTACGTGCAAAATTCATGTGTCACTGTTATAAGGAAAAAAATTTTAAAAAATAAATAATGAAAAAAGTGTAGCAGCGCCTACTCACATTTTTAATTAGTAAATAAAACGACTAAGGCGGTTGTATAATGTCACTCCTCGAACTAGGAGTTACAATTATTTTTATCATCTTATTTTTTTAATATTAAATTAAAATATTGTTTTCATTAAACAGCAGAATTATTGGTTGAAAGTGGCCCAATCAATGAGTTTATGTAATTAA